AACCTTAACAAGACAAAATTTGCGTTTCTGGCTTAAATCATCATAATATTTCAAAAAAATTGCATTTTTTTTAATGACGAAGTCAAATAGTTTATAATTCTTTTTTTTCCCCCCTTCTGTTCTTCATTAGATCTACCTTGATCTCGGTCGGCATAAGAGTCCAAAAAGAGGAAGAGTGCCTCTGAATGTGGCTTGGGCTCGGTGGTGGGCAGCCTCACATGGGGGGCCCTTTCTAGGTGTCCCCTGAGTTTAAGGAGTAGTGGGCCCACATTGATTATCAGATGAGGCCACGTGGCTGATTTTGTGGGATGACGCTGCGAGCATTGTTCGGTTTGTTTATTCCCTTGTAGTTGTGGGGGAATACATCTTCACTGCAAATTACAATTAAGATTGTAACATCAATGCATTAAATTGTTCTAAATGTTGTTGTAACTACTGCATGCAGAAACACCTGAACATGAGGTAATCAATGGATGCGTTGCTACGAAACGCGAGGGTCACGATTCAGCAAATCAGACGAACCTCGTTTGACAAACGAAACTCGTCAAACATGCGAACCTCGTCGAACGAACGAACATCGTCAAACATGCGAACCTCGTCGAACAAACGAACCTCGTCGAACAAGCGAACCTCATATGACAGACGAACCTCATCGAACTAGGAGAACGCTAGGGTCACACCTTCGTGCGAATGCGTAGTTCGTTTGCATGCTGCGAAGCAGCCTGCGAAACAACCATAGTGGCAGCCAACGTGGCGTCACCTCGTCCCGATGCCTCCGTTCGAAGTGCAAAGTGCGCCTAACAAAGTGTCACTTAGCGCATCAGCCCCGATCCCCGGCCCATTGGCCCACGGGCCACTAGAACTTATGAGTGAATAATTCAAATAAAACACTTCTCGACTTGCTGTTGGCAAGCCTCGAACATGAGACCTTTTGAAACATCAAAACATAAACTTTCTACTAGGCTACTAAGCATTTATGAAAAATAATTGTAGTTAATATATATATATATATATATATACATATAGTTTGGAAACTCATTTTGAAAAGCGGTATTGACCAAAAAATCCAACAGAAATTTCTGCAAATTGGAAATCTTAAATCATGTCGTTTCCCAACTGATCATGTTGCCGCATCGGATAGACGGATTTTAGGTGTGATCAGCGGAAATTACGTACTTTGATTTTCCGTTAGGTTTGTAAGAAATCGTCTCCCTCGATGTTATGAACAAAATTCATTTGCAGCGGGACAAAACTCGATCTGGTCGAGTTTGTCTTGGTGCAAATCCCCTTCGCTCCCTCTTGCAGCAAACAAGTTTTGAAACGAGTTCTTCAAGATTCTTCACATGCGTCGAAGTGCTTGGAGACGTAAATCTGAGAATCAAACAACCTAAGTACGTGGTGCTTCAATGATAAAATCAGGAAATGGTTCGATACCGACGATACGAAGCAGAAATTTGAATATAAAGACGCGCTGAATGAGTAAATAGTCTACTAGTTGGACCGGTCGTGGGTGCGGAAAAGAATAAGTAGGTGGGGCCCATGGGGGAACAAGATCTCGTACCACCTCGTGGGCTGTTTGCAATTATGAGGGCTCTTCCGTCATTAGACGACTCTTCTTACGCGGGACGCATGTTATCAATATATTTTAGATTTAATTATAGCAAATATTTTATTAGCATAATTTTGTTTTAATCCTTTTTTATGGTTTGCAGATTGCGGGAAAACTAGCAGTTAAGGCCTCCCTCAGAATCTTATTGTCTACCCACGACCTGCCGCAAGCACCGAATGTTTTGCATTAATGGGATTATCTGCCAAACCGTGCGTTAATAAAGAAACAACACTTGTAAATATTATATTGCTTTTACGCACAAATGAGAGTGAATCATCTTCATTGCTCTTTGTGCTTAATAATCATATTGGTATTTTAATTCCACCCCATTTGCCAAGAAGAAATAATCATATTGGTATTTTAATTCCACCCCATTTGCCAAGAAGGTATTTTAATTAGGTAAACCTGCTTTGAGGCATTTTAATTGATTCAACTTACCAACAATGCCATTTTTCTCGTCGGCGACCAGTTTTCCGGCGAGAGCTCGTCGCATGCGTAGCACGTGATGACTTAAACTGTTTTTTAGCTGCTGATGTGGCACAGATTTTCTGACGTGGATAAAACAGTTGGGCGAATCTGTCCTATTTTTGGTGAATTGGGATTTTTAGAGGGTTAATTCCCGCCTTTAAACACTGTCACGTCAGAAAATCCGTGCCACATCAGCAGCTAAAAAATAGTTTAAGTCATCATGTGTCACGCACGTGATGAGCTTTCGCCGAAAAACTGATCGCCGACGAGAAAAAGGGCCTTCTTGGTAAGTTGAATCAATTAAAATACTTTAAAGCAGGTTTGCCTAATTAACATACCTTCTTGGTAAATAGGGTGGAATTAAAATACCAATATGGATATTTAGCCTATTTAGATCCATTACATTGTGCCCAAGTTATATCATGGATCTGCGTGCGGGTTTCCAAGTTCTGTGACACAAAATACTTTTGGTGCATCCTTAATGCTCATGGACAGATTGTATGTACTTTCTCGTTAAAAAGTTATTTTACAATTGTAAATTGTTATGCATGCAAAATACACAGATTCTTTAAATTGGAGGCTAAAAATATCTCTTCTTTTTACTCATTAGCATGGAATAAGGTAAAATGAATATGGCCTTTCACACAACCCTTTTAATCCTCTACTATTTCTTTTTTAAATATCATTGTGACACCTGAAAATACTGTAATATTCTTAATTTAGCTCTTTACTAATGCAGAAGAATGTTTCAAGGACTGACTCGATATGTAAATATTAATTGAAGACTAAACTGCTATTGAGAAATAGATAGGAAAAAGTAATTAAGGATGCTAGCTAGGAAGCCTGACCAATGAATAGAAAATCTATGCTCCTTCCCTTGATTGTTGGATGAAATGTTGTTAGTTAGTCGAAGAGTAGTATTGTAAACTCACACCCCAATGAAAAGGAATCACGTCCAAAAAAAAAAAAGAACAGTGCTTTCTTCTTCTCTTTTTCTAAAAGTTTCATTATCCATTTCAACACTCGAACTAGTTCTTCTTTCTCCAAAACAGGTTCAACTAGTTCGCACGTGGACAGACCACGACCAGAATAGATGCCGTTAGAAAAAGGGACACGCGTAAGCTTACAACATCGAAAAAAAAAAAGATTGGGCCGGGGTGGCAATTAAAATAATCTTGAGATTTGGAATAATTAATGTTTTAGTCTCAAATACTTCAAGAAACTATTAATATATGCCCTAATCCGAAACTTCAAGAGACAAAGACCATGTTGATTACAATGTAGATCCAAAACAAGAAGATTACCTAGAGACAATAAGGATTTTGTTAAATCAAATGAGTTCGTTGTAAGCCTTGTAGGCTTGTAGCATACGAGCTTATTGTTATTTAAAAAGGGAATAATTCCACATATATAACAGATACATGAGATCCCATGTTATTCCGATCCTCTTCAATTATGTTATAATTGGAGCGGGTGCAAGTTTCTCAATGCTTATCTTCTATCTCAATTCCAATGGATAAGATCACATTACCTAAGATTTTCGGTATCACGTACAAATAATGGGTTTTGCTATAGTGATTTTTAAGTTCACTAGTAGTTTTCCGCACCAAAGTGGTTTTCAAGATAACAATAGAAATCTTTTGGGCATGATCTCATCTGTTACTAGTGATATAGAAAATAAAGATCGAGAAAATTTGACCACCTCCAATTACCGCATAATTGATGAGGATCTTGATCCTAAGATCAAAATCTCTAATGGAGATACAATTTAAGCTAACGATGATAATTAAGCTGTCTTTATTAGAACCAAATGAGTTTGTCAAGAGGTAACTTCTATTTCGTCTCTCCTTCATAGTAGGAGTGCCTTCTTAGAACCTTCCCTATTTATGCTGGAGGCGTCTAAGATATGTTGCATAATGACATAAATCTTTATTATTAGCTAAGTCTAAATGGTACTTACATGTGATTCAAAGTTTTAAAATTGAATGCATGTGCGCCTTGATTTGACAATCATATCACGGTAGTCTCCTTTCCTTTTAAAATTTTATAAATGATGCAATAATTTTAGTTAACCTTCATGCTCCATAAAAATGGAAAGCATTAAGTGTTCTAATATACGTAGCTAGACAAGATAATTGTTGGTAAATGATAGGTCTACACATGTTTAAACTCAGGGATCAGAATTTACTTTCGGCTATTGAGTATTATTTGGAAAATAAAGCTAACAAATCAGAAGGAACTATGATGACCACATTTGTCACTTGAAAAGAAGAAATAAGAGGAGAAAAAAGGAAACATAAAAATATTAAAAGATTCACATAGATCAGTAAGCATAATTCAACTTAAATAAATCAAAACAAAACATTTCCATCCTGACTAATATTTTTTTTCGAAATTCATTAATTTACGATATTCCTTTAAAATTGTATTACCCTATTTTCTCCAAAGCAAATATCAGAGAAAAGTTTCTGTCAACCTAAGGAAACTCAGACTTAATTTCATCCTCAATTTCTTTCTCACGTAGATTGCTTTGAACTGTTTATCGATGTGCGATGCACATCAAAACTATCTTTTTCTCAAGATCCACACATATATATTAGCACCCATTTCAGAACAAACCAAAAGCATTAGAAGATTGGTAGATGGAGCTCTTACAATTTGCGGGGAGCTTTACTTTATAAATAACACTCCATATTTGTGCATCACTCTATTTTTCACATAAAATTTCCAAGCTCACTCAATTTGCGCCAATGCAAAATGAGAAGATCTCAATTAGACGGTTAAGACTAGGATAAAATAGTCGTAAGATTTGTCAAGTAAACACTCATACAACCTACATAACAGCTCAAACCCAGCTCGCACGAGAAGAACGAGAAATAACCAAACTACCCTTGTGGGGGCGGGGTCAGAGTCGTAACTTCACCCGACATGAGCTCGGATGCCGCACATTCCTCCCCTCAGCAGCTGGGCCGCTCGACACGTGTATATTAAATGCATCCGGGGTAGTGGCAATCCCGATATTATCATGAAGCCCAGGGGCTCTTCCACCCCCCGCTGTGCATATAAGCCCCCCATAACCTCTGCTCGTTTCATCCCAACTCTCCTCCTTTCTTCCTCTCGAGTTCACTTCATTTCTCGCTCGAAGATGTTGCGCTACACTGCGCCGCTGCTGCTACTGTGCGCCGCGGTACACGTTGCCGTAGCCATCACCGATGGTGATCTCTCTCTCCCTCTCTTAGTTGTCATTTTTAATGTTCCATTTGAGCTTAACTGTTCGAGCTTAAGCTGTCAACGTCAAGTAAAATACCCATTAATTTATATTTCTTAAAAAAGAAATCACGATGAAGATTATGTCCAAGACTTCAGTATATTTACCCATTTATTTTGCCTGCACTTTTTGAGGGCAAGAATTCAAAATTCAAATTTTGGTATATTGTACTTGGATCCTTTCGGGTGATGAGCTCGTCAGAGCGTAAATTTTAGGGGAAGTAAAATAGTAAATATATTTTATTTTATTTTTTTGTGAGTACGAAACCTTTTTTTTCAAAAGGCCACGTTCTGTGAAGCTCTGACACGACGTTCACGTGCGTATCAGCTCGTCATGTGCCTTTTATTCCTGATTACCTAAAGTACCCTTTTAAGATATTTTTTCATCCCCCTCTCTTTTCCATATTCCCTTTCAAGAACTATAGATATTCGATGTCTAAATCTAATCTTTCATATTTGAAGTCACTAGTTATAATTTCAATATTTTGAAGGCTAAATAGCACTTAAGTGCCTTACAGTTTTGCTCACTTTTTGCTCACATATCCTCACTTGTTTTTTTCACAGCATTTATACATCCATAAATTGTTTAAAATCAACACTTAGTTATCATTTGTCGTGTAGACAGTCAAAATTTTTCCTTTTAAAGATCTAATTCGGCACTTAGAGTTAGCATGTGGGTGTCACGTGAGAACGTTTGAGTGAAAATTTTAATATCTACGGAACCGAGGGTAGCAAATTGCCAATTTTAAACAACTTAGGGTGTATAAATTTTGCGAAAAACATGTAAGTCACTTAAATGCCATTTAGTCTATTTTGAATATAGTTTTCAACTTTATTAAGAATGAACAAAGTAGAAACAAACAACAACAACAACAACATGTCTACAACTAAAAAACATTTTGAATCATTCTTGAAGTGTCAAAAACAATGGTAAGGACTGGACTTGGTTGTCATTCTCCTAAGAGTACCAAAAAAATTCTTGCATCTGTCATCATCACCTCTATGTTTAATCCTCGACTATAATCCTTTTTAAGTAGTTTTTGATAGAAACGTATGAGTGGATATGGGACATGAGTTGCTGTCACATATATCTTGGCTGTCCACTTTCCACATGTATATATTCCAACTCTATCTAGTTGTTGCTATTGATTTTGGTAATTTCCTATTGCACGTAGAATCAAATCATAATGGTCCCCATCTCTGCACATTACTTGATTCGGATCCAATCCCGAACCAAACTCGACCCATGTATTAATTCTAGAGGGACCAAAACCCATGTGACCGCTGCTAGACCGTTTCAAGAATTTATTTCTGGCATATTTCTTTTAGAAAAAAGAGGTATATAGTACTCTAAAAAGAAAATTAAAAAAAAAGATGGGCAGAAAAGAGCATAAAAGTTTCAATCAAAACATGGAAATAAGTTAATATCAAGAGTTATTAATGATTTTTCACTCGTCCATTGAAGTTAATATTATTATTATTATTATTTACTTCTCTAAGAAAAAGGGGTTTTTAATAAGAAAGAAATGAGTTTAAACTTTGATCAGGCCGAAGTCGGTCAGTCAGTCACGACTCGAAATTAGAATTGGAATAGTTTGTAGGATAAAACACAATTTTCTGTTGGAAAACCCCCTTCAAGATTGTTGATAATGACTCCTGTTTCGTGTTCCGTTATCAAACCCAGGACTACTGCCTAACGGTAACTTCGAGCAAGGCCCCAGCCCGGGCAAACTCAAAGGCACAGAGGTGAAATCCCACGACGCAATCCCAAGCTGGGAGATTTCTGGCTTCGTCGAGTACATAAAATCCGGCCAGAAGCAGGGCGACATGCTCCTCCTCGTCCCCGAGGGAGCCTACGCCATCCGCTTGGGCAACGAGGCGTCCATCAAACAGAAACTCAAAGTAACAAAGGGGATGTACTACTCCGTCACGTTCAGCGCAGCGCGAACCTGCGCGCAGGAGGAGCGCCTCAATGTGTCTGTCACGCCAGAGTTTGGCGTGCTCCCGATGCAGACCATGTACAGCAGCAACGGGTGGGATTCGTACGCGTGGGGGTTCAGGGCGATGTTCGACGAGGTGGATTTGGTGATTCATAACCCCGGGGTTGAGGAGGATCCGGCCTGTGGACCGTTGATCGATTCGGTTGCCATCAGGACTTTGTATCCTCCGAGAATTACAAACAGTGAGTATTTCCAACCCCCTTGTTTTGAAGTATTTTACTTGTTATGCTTAATTAAAGATCAAAGAAAATGGTTAAATTAACTAGTAATATGCTCTTTTAGCGAACACTAGTTTATGTATATCATGTACATAAGAGCTAAATAGAGCTGCTGCAGCAAATGTTAGGATCAAATTGAAAATATTTTCAGGTTTTGGTTAAGAAAAAGCTACTTAGGAATAGTAATTGGATTTTTATTGTGGATGAAGAAAAATACGGCACTTGTTACAGCCAATTTGCATGTCAGCTCAAAAAAATTGCAGATAAACTAACACTTGATTTATAATAGTAATGCATTTACCATACAAATCCGACAACTTTTTTTCTAGCTAACCAAACATTGAATTTAAAATTTGAAAAAAATTGTGCCTGACAAATTAACCGAAACAGGTTAATTCATTCCATTTGATTGGGAAAGATATATAGTAGCTCCTAATCATTGCTCGCTTAACTCATTGTCAAACAACACCATATGGATTGCCAAGCTATTTACTTAAGCATTGAAACTTGATGCAAATCTAAATTTCCCTTTGCTTAAGTACTCCCTTAAAATCAAATCTCAAATAACTAATTCGAACTTTTTTTCCCTCCCAATTGTCACCAGCCAACCTCCTAAAGAACTCCGACTTCGAAGAAGGCCCCTACATATTCCCCAACACCTCATGGGGAGTCCTCATCCCCCCAAACATCGAAGACACACACTCCCCTCTCCCCGGCTGGATGGTCGAGTCTCTCAAAGCTGTCAAATACATCGACTCCGCCCACTTCTCGGTCCCGAGGGGCAAGCGCGCAGTCGAGCTCGTCGCAGGCAAAGAGAGCGCACTCGCCCAAGTCGTCCGCACTGTCCCTGGGAAAACCTACTCCTTGACTTTCTCGGTTGGCGACGCAGCCAATTCCTGCGAAGGTTCGATGCTTATTGAGGCGTACGCTGCGAAGGCCAACGTGAAGATTCCTTATGAGTCGCTGGGGAAGGGAGGGTTTAAGCGCGGGGTTTTGAGGTTCACGGCGGTTGAGAAGAGGACTAGGGTTGTGTTTTTGAGTAGCTTTTATCATAGTAAGACTGACGGGTCGCTCTGTGGACCGGTTATCGATGACGTGACGCTGGTTAGTGTCCGTGGCAGTGGCCGGAAACTGAGGATGTGAAGAGAATGATGAATGAGTTAGTGTTTGCAGCGAGTATTGAGCTTGAAAAATATGTATGTAGGTAGTTAAAACATATAAATATGCGTACTAAGAAATGAAGATTTGGGGGATGAGCTTTGATGTTGTGTTGTAGAAGTTGGACGCAGCTTCTTGCTGCGCTTTACTGTAGTTTGCTGTGATATCAATCAACGTGAAAGAAAAATGTTTCATAGTCCGAGATGGTGATAATTGCTGTGGCTGGCCTGTTGATGTAGTCATGATGGTCGTTTTTGTTGGGCAAAAAATATTAAAACAGGGGTTTTAAGGCCAAACGTCCTTTTGTTCAGCTTTACGAAATTAGTATGGATTATTTATCTATTATTATTATGGGAAAAGTATTCCTAAGGTGACTACTTAGATAATCATCTAAGGATGTGGCCTCAAATCACATGATTGAACTACATTGTGGATGATCCGCTCCGTTGAACTTGATCTACATATTCTAAAACCCTAACGCACCAAATTTGGGGTGAACCCATCGTCCTTTGACCCTCCGTCGAGCCATGTGAAAAGCTCTATTCATTCAAAACCGTTAAAATCAATACGAGTGGATGAAAGGTCAAACGACGACGGGTTCACCCCAAACTTGGTGTGTTGGGGTTTTAAAATATGTAGATCAAGTTCAACAGAGCGGATCATCCACAATGTAGCTCAATCATGTGATTTGAGGCAGCGTCTTTAGATAATTATCTAAGGTGTCACCTTAGAAATACTTCTCCCTATTATTATTGTTATTTTCTTGAGAGCAAGAGGGGTCTGACGTCCTCCTTTCACAGTCCAGAACAATGTGAGTAGCACAAGTGCTGCTTTCTTAATAATTAGAAATTAAATATTAGTAACAAACATGTCATAGACACGGATCGACCATTAACTTTTGAGCTTTGAGCCAAGGCCCCAAGCCCCAACCGGTAGAACACTTGCGGCACTTGCAAGGGGCTTGTACTAGAGTTTAAATTGCCTGCTTTCCAACTGATATTTCGGCCAATTGAAAAAGCTGACAGATAAAATATGAAAAATATATCACATTAAAAACCTAGTCACCTCTCTGTACAAAAACAAAGAAAAATATCAATAACTTGTGATGCATAGAAAAATATCAATAATTTGCGAAGCACTTAGCAAAACAGACTCCTATGGTAATAGACTGTACTCGTATAATTGATGCTCTTGTATTTAAGTTGAGTCAAAATTGAGCCAAACAAGCCCCCAGCAGCTGGTAACAAACTTTTATGACAACCAACCAGCTTTCCAAACGTTTTAAATCAATCCGTTCATTGACAGAATTTGACTTGAAGATCCAGAATTTGAACTCAAATTCATTTCCTGTAAGCAGCGAGTAACCAGAATTCTTACAGACTTTCAAACCGATAATAAATATCCGGTGACAATATTCCATAGTAAGACAGCAAAAAGACAGTTCCTTCAACTAAGAAGTCCTAGAAGAATAAAGTCCTTTGGACCTAAGCTGAAAGAGAAAGCACTATGAGGTCTTCAGGAATCCGCAATCGTTGACGAAGCACCGGCACTGAAAACGGACGGATGGAAACCAAATGATCTATCTTCTACCATCGACTCAGATACTTCCCTCTTCTTTTAAACATGCCAATAATCTGCTCAAAGATCACACACAAACAAATGAACATGCAGGTCATATCAGCATCACAATTAAATTCCTCAACAGACAACATACAATTCTGAAAAACCCCAGACAAATTAAAGATAGCATAGAAGGATCACATAAATTATTATCCGCTACTAAAAACTCTAATGATTACATTCAACAAACGAACAAGATGACGTTATTATCTTCCTGCTTTAGGCATGTTCTACTTTCTTAAATTGTAACTGACAAAAACAAACAATGCAAAAGTAAGTTAAGGTTCGTAACTTTCAACAGATCAGTCTGCTGCAGAACTAGTATCCCTTACCCTTCTTGTGGCAATCTCAGCAGCACCTACATGTGACAATTACTGACATTCTTTCAAGAATTAATGCACCAACAGTTACATTTCCATTAAAATGAATCAGACAAATCAACTGTAATTATGAAGCAAGACGATGGTTAACCACAGGGAATCTGGTACATAAAAAAAATTCTCCTAATGGAATTATCCGATGACTGAATCTGTCCACAGATGCATAAATATCCACATACTAACAAACCACAGGCGCACTAATTCTTGGACTTGATAACACAATCTTCAGAAAGGGAGAAACACGATCAAGAGAAACATTTACAATGACTGAATCTAACCACAACCTGATTGTATCTCCATTCTTAGACTTGATAACCAAAATAGTACAGTGTCCCAATCCCCATTAAGAATAAAGAAGAGGGGTATGGGAACCTCATCACTCAAATTCTTTGCCATCCTTTTAAAAAAACTACCTTTAATCACAAGGTCCTATGGTCCAAACCAGTCACTTCATAACCATTTTCACAAAAAACAGAAAGTTTTGACCCCTCAAATACAGTGTAACCACCCTGAATCCTCCTGACAATATTCAGCACCTTAAACATTCAACTTCCTAATTATTAGAAAGATATCAAATTATAAATTCACTTTCATGCAACAATGCTTGGTTTGGTAAAGATTTTATTATCTTTTCAGTCTCTTTTCTTCAGAAGATATAGTAGAGCAACAACAACATGAAGACATCAAACAAACAATAGACAATCATTCTGTTGGTGAAACAATGACAGAAATAGACTTCATCTTCAGAAAAACAACTAGCTTTATCTTTTAAGGAATAAACCTTTTTCTAGTCATAAAAAATAAATAATTAATAAACTACAAAGCAGCAGTGACTACTTGAGTTGTCCCATAGAGCCACATAGCATGTTCCCTGCCATATAGGCAAACACATCGTTTTCCATAGATGTTGGTACCCTGCAACGTAAGATAAGCTAGAACCCTTATATTAGTTAAAATAATACATTGAGAAGCGTATATTTCACAAGAATCTAGACAAATTGAAAGCAAGGAGTGATCAATAACCATGAAGGAGTGATCAATAACCATGAAGAAGTGTAAAAACTGTCGAGAGAAAGTACAAGTACATGAATAAGGAGGGGGAAAAATCAAAGTCCAATGACAGAATATAAGGTCTTCAACGAAATGACAACAGATAATTCGATGGTACAAAAAAATTGAAATTTAAGATGACAACCTAGCAAGTTTTTAAACCAAGTTTGTCACCCTTATGGAAAAAAAGAAGAAGAAAAAGGAAAAAAGAAAAGAAAAGAAAGCACACATACTTACATCCATCAATCATTCTTGATTTTTTTCACTATTATCATCTTCAAGTGATCTCTTCCCCACTCTATTACACTTTTTCTTCCCTTCAAGTAACAACGTGTAAATTTGTCAAGGCCTTATCAACAAATAGCATACGCATAGAGAGCTCGTTATATACTCGCAAATTAAAAATTAATTAATCAATAATTACTAACATCTACTAGAAATTAATGGTTTTTATCTGTCTACCCTTTTTGATGGAGCTACTTGGTCCTCCTTCAAGTTCAAAACAGCCTTGGATAATTATTCAAGCGTTCTCTTTCGAAAGACCATGTTCTCTCCCAAGTCCATTCATCATTGACTCCCAATATGATAGACATGACACACACACACACACAGATAAATATATGTCAAATTTCTTTCTCTTCACCTCCTTCACAACTGTGATTATACATAACAAAACCACCGCATTATAAGGTCCAACATGTGGATTGACTAATTGAAGTGAGAGAGTTAAGGGCTGATCGAATTTCGGCAGAAAGTGGAGAAAGAAAAGTAGGCTTGATGATAGTTTTGTAGGCGCATTAACTAGGCAGGCAAGTTAGACTCGGATGTTCTCTTTTGTTAATTATTCTGAAGCTTGCAATATGTAACTAAACTTGAACATTCTTAATTTAATGAGTAAGAAATCCAATTATAAATCGAATCAACTTCCCTAGAAAATGGCATATTGTAAAATATGAATCATGTTATAAGATGCATTAACTGTACCATATCCACAAGATATATTGACCTAACAAATACCTGCATCAGATACACATCAATTTCTGTATATATAGCATTGAATCATAGTTACATATTACAAGTCATAAGATATTGACAGCCATACTACTGAATTTTACCTATTGCATATGCACAAGCATTATTTGTTTATGTAACATAAACAAAATAGTCAATCATATCTGTACACAAAATTTGAGCAAAGAAACCAGGACTTCGCTAAATGGTTAGTACAAAAACATGCACAGTACAATCAGAATTAGTAAGTAATGAAAATGCGGAAGTTTATGAGAGAAAGATTAGAATAAACCTTTTGAGTCATGTACATGTCAATTATTTGTTTGTACATCTTTTGATTGGCTTCTCTGACTGTAATTCATTCATGAAGTAAAGGCACAACATTTTTTTTGAAATAGAAGTAGAGAAGGATACCAAATGATCTCCACATGCTGATGGGAATAGTCAGAGACAAGTATCACAATCCAAGATATATAAATAGATGGCAGTCACCACCTTCATCTTGGATGTAAGACAAACTTAAGGAGTCTCCAACTTTGGCCCTGAAAAGGCATGGGAGTAAAATCATTTTCCCAAATTGAGCCGTTAATAGTGCCGACATGTAAATGCAGCCCAGCATTTCATATTTATCATGAAGAAAACGCATTATCTGCTCGTATTCAACATCCATCAAATTAAACAAGCTGTAAAGAACAATTGTTTTGACCTAAGAGGAAGTAGTGGCGAGAGGAAAAGAAACTTACTAACATTATCACCATGAAAATGAAACCCCTTGTGCATCGAATGCACATTCATATGCACAGTTCCAGCATGCATGATTAAACACATTACAAACTTTGACTTCTAACAGCCTTCCAAGCTCTTCAACAAACGTTCCTTTTCTAAAAATTATGAAAGTCCCATGTTGTACTAAAAAGATGTCTTAACTTGATTTGTCCAAAAGACATAGCTCATAAGCCACAATAGAATTGTTTGCTCACCGTGACTAAGCTCGTGCTGTACAAAACAGGTAGTTAGTTCCTGTATATAGTTAGAAGTTAAGATACAATTGAACACCACAACAATGCCGATGTTACAATAAAATGATCTCATGAAATTTAACCAGGTATCTTGCTAAAAAATGTATACATCTTGCAAATGTTGAGAATTTACGCAACTTTAACCAAATTCTGGATGCAGAATATACAAAATAAATAATATTTGACAGAAGGCAAGAATAATAATTGAATGAACTTCAAATATAAGATGTTACATTGCTTTAGAAAATTTATTGTACAGAAGTTCTAGGTACAGCAATTCACTTCATTAAATTCAAACTTTAAGATCTCTTATAGTTACATGTCTCAATCCCCATCATACTTACACCAACAAAAACATTAAATTGGCCAAACATCAGGTAGGATTGGTCACTGGTGAATGGATTCATAGAATTCTAAGTTGAAGAAAACCTACATCCTAGGACAAATTCCAGTGCCCTATGAAAAATATCTGTTTTTAGCAGATGTTAAGCTCTTCAACTCCAAAAGGTGTTCATCATTTGAAATGTTGAGCATAAGCCGGAGGTTTGTCAACAAAACTTCTTTATCCCAACTTAAGGGCCCAGATGCATATAATGCCATCATAGTAGAATGGTATGCATTTAACTCTAGACAATGAGTTTCTTCAGGTAATCCCTCTTTTACAAGAAGTGAGTTTTCACTTCCTGATTCGTGAGATGATGCAGTGTCATCATAATGACTACGTGTGCCATGAGTTTGACTAGTTATAAGGTAGCCCAGTGACTTATTTAGCCCACTGCTAACAGTACAACTACCAACTGATGAACATGTACTCTTAGCATCATCATGTTCTAAACAACCTACAAAATTATAGCCAACGGAATAATTTTCCTTTTGCTCATCCACATCTGTTTCACAAAACCTGCTTGTTCTGTATTTTAAAGATGCAGACATACATTTTGCATCGTGAATTATTTGTGAGGAAGCATCAGCATCTACCTTTTCAAGTAGATGCGATGAAAGTGTCCCCAAGGCTCTCTGACTCCTCTCCATTTTCTCGACAAATCTCAACTTCTTGCGAGCTCCAGTGCATGTATCCGTCTGAGGCAAGTACAAGCATTGCCTTCTCTTCTTGCCTTCTAAAGTCACCCAGCCGCATTCGTCAAGACCACCTTCATATTTGTGGGAAAACTGATCATTTTGGCCAGAGGATTTCCCCTCTATACCCGACTGAGGCATTCGGTTACTGTCATCTCCTGCTTTAGACTTGCTGTTCATGAACCTATCATTACCTCCTTCCTGCAAAAGAAAATGACTAATCAATCAGAATGAAATGGAGGATGAAAAGCAAGGCTATTCTAGATAGCCATGACATCCTAAGCAAAGATTAAGCTACCTTTAAACTGCATGAATACAACAATTTATGTAAAAGCTAAGAACTCAAACGACATCAAGAACAAAAAAAGGCTAGGGCACTCTCATGAACAACTGTATCACAAATACAGATTAACAAGATTACCTTCTGAATTACAATCCAGCTGTTATCTTCCCACACCTGCCGTGGCCTGAGTTCGGACATGTGAGCTCGAAGTTTCTTAGAGTAGCCAATGAGCCGAACAAAGAAATACTTCCCTTTAACTACCTTTAATACTTCAGCAAGCTTCCATGAGTTTTTCTCGAATACCTCCACAATGTCACCAGGAACCCAACACCTTGTGTATAAGACTGAAGGAGGGCGGGGCCTAATTGCGCCCCTTGGTACTCTTTCGACTGTAACACCCGCATTATCTGAATAACAATCATATTTGATACTGTAGTAATCTCCATCACCCGAGATGACCTCGGCACACAACCAAGAGCCGCTGGGCACTTCTCTCTTATCCAACACCTCCACCTTGCTTCCTTTCTTAAACTTCATGATCACAATGATATTTGATAAGCAATTTGTCTCTCTGTTTCAAAACCGAAAAAAGAAAAGAAAAAAGAATTAGGAATATATAAACTTCGTTAAGAATTTTTCGAACGTAGAATTAAGCATACACCAATAAGATCACAAGTGATGACGAAAAAGATTAATGGAACAAACTAACTGTACAGAATAAAACAACAAAACTATGATTCGTATAGAATAAAGAATAAATTTCAAGAAATTTCAAGCAATAATATAAAGGAAATAACATCTCAAATTTTATGAAAGATGTGATTTGTTGCAATCCTAAAATTATTGAATCCCGATAACTTTTATCTTTTTGAGGGGAAAAAATTAGGGCTTTGAGGATTCAATAATTTCTAGTGTTCCAATTAATCATAGCTTTCATAAATTGTATCAGATACATCGATAATATCTAATTACCTGAAACTCAGATTACAATCACATACTAAAAAATAAGTAGATCCGTTAAATTTTTATAAAAAATCAGCAACACAATATCAAAATTTCACCGACAAGAAATTACCTAAATCCTTGATATAGAAAAAAATAATAATAAAAAGGTTATAGAAACCAACGCTTTCAATAACCAATCAACTAATACTAGAATCGAAGTATAAAACAAGAATCAGCACTAACCTTTCGTTGTATAAAACCCTAGAAGATCAATCGAGGGGAAGAAAAATTCTCTCCAGTAAATTTTTTTTTTTATCTCCAAGAAATCTGAAGAGAATTAGGGCGAAAATCAAATAATAAAGTGCGTTTGATAAGTGGACAGGAATTTATTTATTAATGCGACTTGCTTCCGGGTTAAGCCCGAAACCGAAACCGGAACCTAAACGGCACCTGATTAAGTTCAAGCAATCTCGACCGTTGTTTGAGGATCAAACGGTGGATAACGATGGGGATTTGGGTGAGGGGTGTACGTTTGTTGTTTCTTGGAGAAATACGCGAATATGCGATGTTCTAGATGCCTAAATTTGGACGATGGAGCTGTGGCGGTTACAAACTTAACCGTGAGTATTAGGGTGTGTTTGTATCTAATCTAATACTATTATAAAAATTATATGTCATGTTAAAACATTTCTTCCTGAAATTTATTCATCTTATATCTAATCTAATCATATCATATCATACCCCCTTTAAAAGTACGAGCTCGGGAAAATCTTTTCATTGTCAGCATTACCCTTAACTTTTTTAAATATTATATTGTTATCCTAATATATTCTATTTATCTTATCTTCTTTGAATTAGTAACTAAATGATTTATCATATTAAAAATAAGATTTAACATGTTATTGGATAATTAAAATATGTTTGATATAATTCAAATCCTTTACTTATTTCAGATCACAGAAAAATCTAAAAACATATGCTAGTCAGCATCTAAAATTTTCGGACTTTGTAAAAAAATCCTCCAAGTTTTTTAAATTACAAAAACACCCCTACAAATTTAAAATTTTATTAAAACATCTTAAAAATTATAAATTTTACTTATTTCAATTCAGTGAGAAATCTAAAAAATATATGCTAGCTAGAAATAAATTTTACTTATTTCAATTCAGTGAGAAATCTAAAAAATATATGCTAGCTAGAAACTAAAAGTTTTTGACTTTGGAGAAAATATCTTGTAAGTTTTAAAAATTACAAAAACACCCCTAAAAATATAAAATTTATAAAAAACACCTTCAAAATTTCAAACTTATAAACACACTAAAAACCTACAAATAATATTATAAAATTTACAATAAACACTCTAAACTTTTTACAAATTGCAAAATAAAACCCTCAGAATTGTAAATTTATAAAAATTCTGATAATTTATAACCTAATAGTACATTAAAAATATAGGAATTATAAATATCTCTTACATAATTTATAATTTAAAGAAAACACCCTTGAAGTTTCAAAAAAAATATAGGAATTATAAATATCTCTTACATAATTTATAATTTAAAGAAAACACCCTTGAAGTTTCAAAAATTACAAGCAAAACCTTAAAATTCGAAAACACCCTTGAAGTTTCAAAAATTACAAGCAAAACCTTAAAATTCAAAATTTATAAATAACACCCTGAGAATTTCAAACTCATTAGTAAATTGAAAGCATGGGAATTATAAATAGTCTATAAATAATTTACAATCGGTAGAAAAGGTTTATAAGTTTAAAAATTTACAAAAAGCCCCTAAAATTTATAATTTATAAAAAAATACCATGAGAATTTTTAACCTATGAACACAAAAATGAATATACAAAATTACTAACAACCCTTAGAAAACTAAATTTTACAAAAATATCATACTCACTTTAAAAGTATAGATTTAGGAAAAATCTTTCATGGTCAAAATTACCCGTAACTTTTTTGAAAAGAACATAAATGATTGAAAATCTATTAAAATTTAAATTTACAGAAAAAACACCCTTAAAGTTTAGCACATTGCAAATTACCTCTCCAAAGTTTGGAAATTTTTAATGATTTTTTGTAATTTCTTAATTTTAACGTAATGTTTAATAGTTTTGTGTATTTGTAAATTATAAAATTTTAGGGTGTTTTTTTTTTAAATTTTAAAATTTTTTAGGGTGTTTCTTTTGTAGTTTTTTTAATTTTTATTGTGTTTTCAGTGTAATGCATAAATACGTTAATTAATGATAATATTAAAGAGTAAGTTGTTCTTAATATTATTAGTCTATAATTAAGTGTACAACACATCGCTGTTCCTAGACAGTGTAATTTATATATGCAAAAAAATTATATAAAAATTCCTTTACGAATTGAATGGTCACCCATCTTTTGAAAACTTTAAGATACTAATAAATAGAGATGTTATACTATATTAATGTATTTATAACTCATAAATAATAGACCAGTCTAGATTGAAGGAAACAATAATGATAAGATTATTAGACCATAGTTAAGTATGTACATCACTATTTCTAGGCAATATAGTTTATATATGTAAAAAAATTTAGATAATATATATAGTTGTTAAAAAGTTTTTGATTTAATGTACTATTTTTTTATAGATTATATTTAATGTGAACCCACCATATAATTTTGACTGTGGTCATCATAAATTTAATACGTTTGATTGATTGACTATAAACTTATATAGATCATAGATTACTTTACTTTCTCACATGAGCTAATATTTGGTACTTAATAATTTAAATTATTACTTTTAAATTTAATATAAAGATGAGCTCTAATAACATTTATTTATTTACATACAGCATAATACAATCTTAATTTTTATTTTTGTTGGAGATTTATTTCATAGTTAAGTGTATCAAAATAGTAACTAAAATAATAATTAATTATACTTAAATTAGGATGATTATAGTTGGTCACTCACTATGAAGTTTTTATGAATATATATGCATTACTTTTTATAGCTATCTGCACTACTCATGTATAATTTACAAATTACTTATTAATTTGACACATTAAATTACTTTTTCTTTGTACAAATTTCTTTTTAACTTTTAGACTCTGTAATCACTATATCACCATTTTAGAGTAGAAAGGACCTCACTCTAAATGGCTTCAAGCCAATATTTGAGTTGAACTGAAGTACATACTTTTGCTACTATGTGTATATATTTTTTAAGAAAATTATATCAACACTTTTTAAGTAGAAGAGAATATTCTACCCTCTGATATTATAAAAACTCAACACTTTTTAAGTAGAAGAGAATATTCTACCCTCTGATATTATAAAAACTAAATATAACTAATTGAATGATTAACAAAAGAGAACTTACATCAGAAACGTGTGAATAATAAGATAAAAAAGAAAGGTAATAACATTGCTAATAATACTACAAATAGCAAACTACAATGTAAAGTTAACATATTTTGTGGAGCCTTAACTACTCACTATAAGCATTGAGTTTTCTATATATACTTTATAATTTATTTAAAAATATCATATATAGTAATATTGTTGTAATAATATCGTTATTAGAAAAATTTCTTCATGAATCAATATGTTCGTTACGATATATAAGCTATGCACTCCAAATTCTTGTGTCTTTTATAGAGTTAAAAAGTTTGAATACGAGCCTCTAACATGTTGCTCTCATAACAACAAATTCCACTTAGCAGTTGTGGATATTCCATATGAGTTATGTATCCTATATACAATACAATTACCCTAGACAAGTGAGTTATAATAGTATTTTTTATTCATATTGTTTAGGATAAGATTTGATAGGGACCTTGTATCAAAAAAATATTTAGAGCACATAGCGAAATATATCATAATCTTGTTGTTTTAATTTCGTAAGAAAATAATTCTTCATACTTTCAGTTTTACTTCTATGATACAGAGAATGAGTTATAAAATTGAATGAGAATATTAGATAATATAAATATGAGTGAAACAATAGCTAAAAGTTAATGTGAATATGAGTCAAACCACAACTAAAAATTTAATGGACATATTACAAGTAAATTCATATCCAAAATTCTTTTTACGAATTGAATGATCATCCATCTTTTGAAGACTTTAAGATACTAATAAATAGAGGTGTTGTATTAGATTAATGTGTTTATAACTCACAAATAGTAGATCACGTGGCCACAGTCTGGGTTAAAAAAAACAATGATAATATTTTATTTAAGAGAGAGATTATTGAGTTGATCAATCCCACAAAAAAAATTTATTTTCTTTTTTTATTTTTACTCTATTGTTATCAATTTAAATAATCATGATATTCAACCTATTTTTATCTATTTTTATTTTTACTTTATTGTTATCAATTTATTTTATTGTTATCAATTTATTTTTACTTTATTTTTATTTTTATTTTTACTTTGATAAATAATTTATTTTATCAAAGTTTGTGTTGAATTGGCAACCCGACAGTCGAGTGGACTTTGGGTTGGGTGTATAATCGAGTCGTCTACTCGAGGAGTCATCTTAATTATGAGGGAACGACTGATCCCGTTCTTCGAGTCGGTCATGATGACCTGTCGGACGGAATAAGGCTTGTCTGCTCGTCTAGTCGAGGGACTTGGCTTTGACTGTGCAGGTATTCTTCCGATACTTCTATTTTGGTACGGTGAATGACCATAACAGTTGCCATGTTACTTCCACATCCATGCATACATACATGAAGTCATTGTTTGTGGAAAATTTGTAGTAAAAAGACAGTGAAAGAAAATTAACTTGTATTCTCTCAAAATCGATTGCAATTTGGATTTCCTGATTACAAAAGAGAGGAGAATGAATTTGATTCTCCCTTTTGTTTAATTCTGGGTTCTTCTTGGCAGCGATGGAGTGCCTCCCTCGAATGCTCGCGTCGAGTTTGCTCTCCGTTGACGATCCAACATTTTGATTCACTAGAACGATGTCTTCTCCTCACGATTTGACGTTGTGGAGAACTTGCGTGGCAAGTTTTCTCTCAAAATCGATTGCAATTTGGATTTCCTGATTACAAAAGAGAGGAGAATGAATTTGATTCTCCCTTTTGTTTAATTCTGGGTTCTTCTTGGCAGCGATGGAGTGCCTCCCTCGAATGCTCGCGTCGAGTTTGCTCTCCGTTGACGATCCAACATTTTGATTCACTAGAACGATGTCTTCTCCTCACGATTTGACGTTGTGGAGAACTTGCGTGGCAAGTTTTAGAACTCTGAACGAGTTGATTGATCTTAACCGTAATTGGTTAGACAAGCCAAGGATCTCTTCTTTACTGCCTAAGAGCCGGATCCAAAAGCCAGCCCCTCTAAACTGATTTTTTAGTTATTTATAAGGGATTA